TTATCTCAGGTGGGTTTGGGCATGGAGTTATCTCAGGTGGGTTTGGGCATGGAGTTATCTCAGGGGGCAGAACCACGGCCACAAATCCCTACGGAAAATCGGGAATTTCATCCAACCTTGGCATTCTGGACATTCCCGAGCACGGCCTCGGCGTTGAGCATGTCCGGGAGCTTGGCCACCATCTGGCTCTCGATGGGCAGCTGCTGGTTGAGCAGGGACAGGTAATACTGGAGCTCTCCGTGGGAGGTGATGAGAATTCCTTCTCCTTTTGTGTCGTACTGGGGCCTCCCAGCACGGCCCAGCATCTGCAACCAGGAGAAACGGCTCAAGGAACCTGGAATTCTTGAGGAAATATCTCAGGAGGGTTTGGGCATGGAATTCTTGAGGAATCATCTCAAGTGGGTTTGGGTATGGAGTTATCTGATGTGGATCTGGGCATGGAATTCTTGAGGAGTTATCTCAAGTGGGTTTGGGTATGGAATTTTTGAGGAAATATCTCAGGTGGGTTTGGGATGGAGTTATCTCAGGTGGGTTTGGGCATGGAATTCTTGAGGAAATATCTCAGGAGGGTTTGGGCATGGAATTATCTCAGGAGGGTTTGGGCATGGAATTCTTGAGGAAATATCTCAGGAGGGTTTGGGTATGGAGTTATCTGAGGTGGATCTGGGCATGGAATTCTTGAGGAAATATCTAAGGTGGGTTTGGGCATGGAATTTTTGAGGAAATATCTCAGGTGGGTTTGGGATGGAGTTATCTCAGGTGGGTTTGAGCATGGAATTCTTGAGGGATTATCTCAGGTGGGTTTGGGCATGGAATTCTTGAGGAAATATCTCAGGTGGGTTTGGGCATGGGGGTTATCTGAGGTGGATCTGGTCATGGAATTCTTGAGGAAATATCTCAGGAGGGTTTGGGCATGGAATTATCTCAGGTGGGTTTGGGCACAGAATTCTTGAGGAAATATCTCAGGTGGGTTTGGGCATGGGGGTTATCTGAGGTGGATCTGGTCATGGAATTCTTGAGGAAATATCTCAGGTGGGTTTGGGCATGGAGTTATCTGAGGTGGATCTGGGCATGGAGTTCTTGAGGAANTTTTCCTGCCACCCAATTTCCATCTCCCACCTCCCTTTGAATCCTCCCCCCAATCCCATGGATCTCCTGGATCTCTCTGAGCTTCCCAGCCCCACCCAGGACATCCCAGAGAGGGAAGGGAGCAGAATTCCCAGCAGGAATTCCCGGCAGGGCTCACCTTGGCACTGGGCTCCTCGATGCTCTCCTTCACCGGGATCGGGACTCGCTCCAGAAGCTTCTGCAGCTCCAGCTTCTCCTCCTGGGGAAAACAGGGATGGGTGAGGACTCTTGGGTGCTGTTGGGTGATGGCTGTTGGGTGCTGTTGAGTGATGGGTGATGGCTGTTGGGTGATGGCTGTTTGACGCTGGGTGTTGAGCAATGGGTGTTGTTGGGTGGTGGTTGTTGGGTGCTGTTGGGTGTCGTTGAGTGATGGTTGTTGGCTGTTGGGTGATGGTTGTTGGGTGCTGGCTGCTTGATGCTGGGTGTTGAGCAATGGGTGTTGTTGGGTGATGATTATTGGGTGCTGTTGAGTGATGGCTGTTGGGCTGTTAATCAATGGCAGTTGTTAGGTGATGGTTGTTGGGTGCTGTTCGGTGTCGTTGAGTGATGGTTGATGGCTGTTGGTTGATGGCTGTTGGGTGATGGCTGTTGGGTGATGGCTGCTTGATGTTGGGTGTTGAGCAATGGGTGCTGTTGAGTGATGGCTGTTAATCAATGGCAGTTGTTGGGTGATGGTAGTTGGGTGGGGTTGGGTGTTGGGGGTTGTTGGGTGAGGGGTGTTGGGTATTGTTGGCTGTTGAGTGATGGCTGTTGGGATTTGTTGGACAATGGCTGTTGGCTGTTGTTGGGTGCTGGCTGTTGGGTGTTGGGCGTTGAGTGTTGGCTGTTGGGCGTTGGCTGTTGGCTGTTGGGTGTTTGATGATGGCTGTTGGGTGTTGAGTGCCGGGTGTTGGGTGTTTGATGTTGGCTGTTGGGTGATGGCTGTTGGCTGTTGGGTGTTGGATGTTGGCTGTTGGCTGTTGGCTGTTGGGTGACGGCTGTTGGGTGACGGCTGTTGGGTGACGGCTGTTGGGTGACGGCTGTTGGGTGTTTGATGTTGGCTGTTGGGTGACGGCTGTTGGCTGTTGGGTGTTGAGTGCTGGCTGTTGGGTGATGGCTGTTGGGTGTTGGCTGTTGAGTGCTGGCTGTTGGGTGTTTGATGTTGGCTGTTGGGTGCTGGCTGTTGGCTGTTGGGTGTTTGATGTTGGCTGTTGGGTGTTTGATGTTGGCTGTTGGGTGTTTGATGTTGGCCGTTGGCTGTTGAGTGCCGGGTGTTGGGTGTTTGATGTTGGCTGTTGGGCGTTGGCTGTTGGCTGTCGGGTGATGGCTGTTGGCTGTCGGGTGATGGCTGTTGAGTGCTGGCTGTTTGATGTTGGCTGTTGGGTGTTGGGTGTTTGATGTTGGCTGTTGG